CTGTATGCAAGAGCAGGTTGGTAACTTGGTATGACCAATTGTATTTGAACCTCTAAAACTTTGGTGCATAGCGTGTTTATATTTGGCACATCGAACAAAGTATAGCAGCCACAATATTGTTACATCTGCCTTAATCTTTTTAGAAGGTGCTATTCAGTTTACTTCACCTGGTCCTTTTGATTGTTCGGCATACGACAAGTTTAGTAAGAACTTTTCTTAGCAGTTGTTAGTCTGCTGCTCTAAGTACTTCTTAATTGAGATAAGATAGTTTACGGGGAAGATATGGTACTGGATAGGATGCAATGGTAAAAAAGAGATCTAGTGTTTTCATCACACGGCGAAACCTTTATTCTGAAGTTATCTGTTGATTTCATGAATTGATGTTATTAGCGATACTTACTTCCGACATGTTTCTTGTGTTATTCGTCGATAAATCTTTCATTGTTCTCCAGATTGGTAAAAGGCTTAGAGACCGTGGGTTCAAAAGTACCCAATTCTCCTCCTGGGTTATTCCTCAATGGGATAACAACACAAACAATCCCTGAACTTTGTTCTAATGTGTAATTTGATCCATGAATTTTTAATTTGTTCAATATAGTCCCTGAACTTTAGCTTAATGTTCAATTTGGTTCATGAACTTTTAATATGTTCAATGTGGTCCCTGAACTTTTAGTACATGTTCAATTTAGTTCCTGAACTATTTGAAAATGTCCAATGTAGCCCCTGAACTTGAATTAATGGAAGGACTACATTGGACATTTTCAAATAGTTTAGGGACTAAATTGAACATGTACTAAAAGTTCAGAGATCACATTGAACATATTAAAAGTTCAGGGACCAAATTTATCATTAGGCTGAAGTTCAGGGACTACATTGAACAAATTAAAAATTCATTGATCAAATTACATATTAGATTAAAGTTCAAAGACCGTTTGTGTCATTTTCCCTTCTTCAATCATGCTGGGCACAGGTGCCAAATTTGCTTGCTTCTCTTAGGTTGATCAGTTGTTCTTCCAACTTTGACCTTTAATTGACGTTCTCGTTGCTTATGGGGACAAGGTTGTCGCCTGCCATTGGAATACGTCCGATCCCTGGACAATTTTTAAGTGTTTCTGATGACGGTGAAAACCGTGAAATTGCTGGCGGAGGTGGTACGCTGCAGGTAGTTTCACTTTTACACCTTTCCTATGATTGATTGGTTTCCGTGTGAGAAGCAGATCGGACATAATTGGTTACCGGTCCGTGAAATTGGGAATTGACCATATTCATCCACGAATTGGCGGTGTTATTTTTTTATACGTCTATTTTCTTTCTCGAGAGTTCTTAAATATATTGAAATATATGTTAGTGTATGATGAAATTAGAAAATTACCAGTAAAAGAAGGGATTGCTTCCACAAATAATTCGTACCTTTTGCCTTGTTGAATAAAAAAATTAAAAAAACAATATATTCTAAGGCCGGTTGCCAATTCGGTTTGGTTGATTCCGCCGGTTCGGTTCGGTCGGTCTGATTATTCCCTATTTCAAAAATTTGGAATCGAGAACCACCCAAAACTGCTCGGTTCAATTTGGTTTTTCGGTTGGATCAAGATTGATGTACACCCCTAGAAATTATAATGTATCATTGTATCTCACCAGCTTTTCGAGGTGTGCTCAATAGAAACTTGATTTTCACTGTATGAAAATTTGCAAGGGCTGCCATGTAAATTTCGCTTCCCGATCATTCTTTCTTACTAAAAAGTACCTAAAGTAATTTTCCACACTAAGTTTTTAAGGGTAAACACATTTAAAAGCTTTTCAAAATACTTTATGCTCACAAAATTTCGAAAAATCAAAATACTAATTTCAATTCCAATAAATTATGAAATTTTTTTGAAGGACTCTGCACATTAATATTCTATCTATCTGATTTTGAGATTGTTTAAGGTATTCGACATTAAATAATAATTGAATATTGAACTAGACAAGAAAACTCGAAATAAGGATGATCTCTTGGGTTCACATTTGGGTCAGAACGTTGACTTTTCTTTTTCTTTTCTTTTCTTTTTTTAATCGCGTCTGCACATTTCCATTAGAAGATTTTGGAAAAAGGGAAGAGGAAACGAAATTGCTGGCGGATTGGATAGTAGTGGAATACACCCTGTTCCATTAGGAGATAATCAAGGCAACTCCACTTCTCTTTGTACCAATTCAAGTCAATCCCTCTTGTCTAATTAAAAGAAAAAAAAATCAAGTCAATCCCTCGTTGATTTCGGCGATGCATAACACATTTTGTTTATCTAATCTTAAATGCATCAAAAGAATGTCTCCCCCATGAACCAGACGTGCGTTAACACCTACCAACCTAACACATTCCATCTTAAAACCATCGTGATGGTCGATTTAGTGGTCAAATGGATCACATGTCTTCCACGAGATCACGAGTTCGATTTACGTTACGAGGGATCCCTGAGTAGCTCGTGCTACCTTGTTTAACCGAGACATGTGCGATCGGATGGAGAGAACTTCTTGATTGCTGTCGTCTTGGCGGGGTTGTAGTGGAGGGCTCGCCAACTTTGGATCTTCGAATTCAAGGCGTGCAAAACAGTTATGATTCAAATCGAAATTCGTTCGTAAGAACATACACAGATTATGTCCATTTTATGGTTTTATGAAAACTTTTAAGGTAAATGTGTGTGTGTGCATACATACGTACGTACGTACATACTTTCAAGAGTCACACGTGCCCATATACCAATTGGATATGAACTATATACGAAGCAAGAAATAATATGCACAATGATAGCCCTAAATACTTCGACTTCATTCTTTTTCTAACTAAAGGTCAAAGGTAAAATAAAAAAAAAATGAGTCATGGACCCATTTCACATATAGAAAGCATCCTTTTGAAGTACAAATGTGATGAAATAACCTAACTCATGAATACTGCTTCATTTTTGTTATGTTGTGTGGATTTTACGGCGCTGTTAGAGAATATTATTAGAGCTATTATTAAATATTACGAGTATTATTTAATTGTTCTTTTTTTAAGGTAGTAGATCACTCCATTTTATGTACAAATTACTCGAATATAATTTTAGAAAAAAAAATTACTCGAATATAAATGACCATTGATTATAACTGGGCTAATTCCAAAAAAAGGCACCAACTTTATATTGAATGAAAATTATGGTTTGAATTTTTTTTTGTCTCAATAAAAAGCATAAATTTTTACTCGAGTCTCAAATCTTGCCCCCCCAATGTAAAATTTTCAAATTTTTCGGGTTATATTTGAGAATTAAGTAAAAGTTGATAATTTTTTATATAATAAAATTATTACACGAAATAAAGTTGATATTTTTTTTTTTGAATTAGGCCCGAGTAATACAATAATCCTTTTTCTTCTGATAAATATGAAATGATATGATGCACCACCAGCTCTGCTTTATCCGTGATCAGACATGCGACTGTCTTTTCTTTTCTCTTGTCAATGGTGCCCGTTTGCTCAATTTATGGTAACACTTGTTCTAATGCCACGACATTGTTAACTGTGCGAGACGGTCCTTGAGGTACGCCCAACGTCAATCCTTGATCGACTGGTATCTCAGGTACGGAAGCTTCCCGCCTTGTTCGATGTCGTGTTTAGCCGGAATTTGATTGATAATGAAATATCTTTTATTAAAATTCATATTTTGATTTTTATTAAGAGACGACAGAATCTGTGATAATTCCGAACATAAATCTTATTAATGGAATACAAAGAGTAGATATGCTTCAACGTTGATCTACAATAAAGTGCAATGACATAAAAGATTCTGTCGAAATTTAATCAATGATATAACGATACAATGCCAGGAATTTAGTCGATGAGAATGATCTGAAAGATAACATGTTTTTTATTGTTTGTTCGGGAGCTACGTCTAAGCTACATGAATTGAAAGATAACATGTTTTTTGTTGTTTGTTTGGGAGCTCTACAATACATCAACATTAGTATATATAGGTATTTACAACATAATTGCCCATGGCAATTCTTCAGCAGTTTCAACCACATTGTGTCTTCATGATTTTCGGCTCCACATCTTCACATTGCCACGCCATCTTATCCCTAGGCGGTTACTCCTCCAAAATCGCACCTCAATCTTGCTTTTGAACGATCACACTAGCCGTAAAACAGTTACAAGCTTAACTAGCAACCTCGTGCTCATCGATTAACGTTCTTTGAACATCATCTCGCTTAATCTACACCTTCCAATCAACGTCTTCACTTCATTTCACACTCAACCAAATTCTCTAGGACCGATCGTTATCGCACATCGACATCTACAGCCATGATCGTCAAAACCATACCATACCTGATCTCGAAATCATACCATACCTGATCTCGAGTCATCCGCTTCTTTGAATCGGCATCGTATTGATTATGAAAAGTGTGGCCGCGGGAACCGACACAAGTTCCGACACGTGCGATGTGGGAGAAGGGGGGCGGGGGTGACGTGGAGGACACGTGTACGGCGGTGAAACAACATTCTTAGAAGTAAGAACACGAAGCCAATTGTGCTGGATAACCTTAATGTACTTGCATTATTTAATAAACACAAAATCCAGTTGCTGCACCACCATCTGTAATTCATCAGATAAAATTACTTATCTTACCCTGCTAAACAAGCCTCAAGAATTGAACTGAGTTTCTTTCCAAAACCAGAAACTTGTCCCAACTGCGCAGCCTCTTCAATCAAATGCCAATCCTAACATGTTCAGAAGAGTTTGCCCGATCTTAACATGTGTAAGATAAAATGCATCTGCTTGCATTTCAAAGTAGTGAAACAGACGAGCAAGTTTAATGTCCAGCAAGAACCAGATCGATACCTCATTTTCAGTAAAACTGGAATATTTTTCGTGGGCAATTTCTTCACATCGTATGGTAGCAACCATGACCCTAACACGGATAGCATGATGCGTACATTAGCATTCTCATTATCAACAATATACCCAGTGGCCTTTCAATTAATCAACTCTCACCTCGTATGCAGGCAAGTCAAGGTCCCTATCCTCCTTAATGACCTTCCACATCTGCTGAGCACTAAAAGAAAATCCTGAAGCAGGAACTACTCCCCTTCGATCTCCTGCGAGCCCACCAGCTGCAATAGAATGGAAGAACCGCTGTCTAAGGCTGGCCACCTGTTTGCCAAGGAAATTCAACCATATGACAAAAAATTAGTACGGATGAAAGGTATAATCTACTTGGCAACCAATGCTCCAAATTCTACAATAGAGAACAAGAAGATGAGATGGAAACATAACACGTCTCAAACTATAACTGATTAAAAATGGGAACAGAAGAGTAGTGAAAATCACCAAACTCGATAAGGGTGATTGAGCAATGATAAGCCCCAAGAAAATAAGAAATAGCTGTCAATGATGAGTGGCATTTCCACAGATATTCCAAAACTCATGCATATGAGGACCAAAGTTTTGTCTTAAGCAGTACTCAAGCACAGGATTTATGTGAAGGAAAGGGCGCCCACTGCAGCATTTGAAAATCTTGTCCAATCACAACAACAAAGCCGACATAAAAATTGGGCAATCGCACTCAAGATCCAAACATGCTGCCATGTGGTGCAAGTTAGGTATACCTCCTCTTTAAATTGCTCTTCCTTGTATTCATAATTAGAGAGAGCAACAAACTCAACCTGGACAGCAGAAGAGAGTCATTAGGATGAACTTCGTTTTGACGATTAGAAGCGAAAGCAAATCATCGAGAGGAACTTATACAAGCATCAGAGCACCTACATTAAAAAAATCACTGAGAGGAGTTTCCTTGTGTGCTTGTGGCTTAGGAACCTCGTCCCATATCTGCAGGAAAATACTAAATGAAACCAGGAACAACTTTACAAAGTCGATTTTCCAAAGGAAATGCAACAACCCTCACCTTCTGCACAAATTCTCTCAAGCGATTTTCTAGATATCTCGGAGGAGTCTGGATAAAAAGAAAAACCAGAGAGCAGATAAAAACGATCACAATCCAAAATGGAAACATGATTAAATATAGGTACCAACCCTTGTTTTATCCCGTATGACGAACAACAGAGTTGTTCTCCGTGGGCTAAACAATCGCATCATGACCTTCAAGAAGAGTCACAAGTTTATCATTAATAATTCTTAGAACTAAACATTTAGCTTATCTTAACGCAAGAGGACAAGAAATACTTGGAATACAGTTTTCAGAAGAGGCTTGCTGGCAGCTTGCTTACGGCCAATATCATGACACCACCTACGAAAAAGATGTGTAAAAAGGGCACTAGGAAAATACTAAAACAACAACCTCGTAGATAAAATTGCAGCAGCAGAAACGGTACCTCACTAGAGCAAAGCAAAAGCCTCACATGTTTATGAGCACTATATCGGAGACAGCCAAAGCGAAAAGTGCACTCTGCTTTTCAAAAGCAGTATTGTCCTGAATAAAAATGACACTGGTTAAGAAGCTGTGAGGATGCTAATTGCTGCTTACTCAAACCAAGTGTGAATCAGGTGAGTTTCAATGAGCATCAGCTACACAATAAATCAATCTTCTGGGTTAGTAAGATGAGCAAAGACATACAAAAGTGGAAAAGCAAGTTAAAGATAATACAGCAGCTGCCCGATGCACAAATTATCTTTCAACATGTAAAAAAAATAGAATTTGCAATTACTTATGGATAAAAATAAGTAGTTAAACATAGACAAAATAAGCTATTATATATCCATGTAAAATCATCTAGTAAATATACCTCTCCTTCTCCAGTTCCCTCCAAGTCCATAACCAGGGTACACGGTTCCATGCCAGCAGCTGTTGCCATCCATATACCTCTGGTGGTTTGGGACCTGGAAAAACACCAAACTGGTTTTGCACTTTCCGAATCCAAATACTTCATAAGAGTGAGCTAAACAGTCGGTTTGTAGACATGCCTCCCTTTAAAATGATCCATCTCCCTAAAGTTGGTGCCAAATAGATGATTTAACAGCGTACTCTTCCCTGTTTGATATTACACACAACAATAGAATAAGTTTGAATCTCTTATGAAGGCAAAAGAAAAGATACATGAACATGAAACAAAATAAAAGAATTAAACTGAATTTGAGCAACTTGAAATCATTTCACGGCCCTTACAAGAACCTTACAAAAAGTTCTGATCTAATCCATTTCCAGCAAGAGAAGCAAAATCCAAAGCTAAGTTATTGGGAGTAAATACACACCACTAATATGAGGACCCATGATGGAGACTACGGCGTATGAATGACCACATTCCCTCAATTTGACCTCCTTGATGAAATTTTCCAGTCCGTCGACATTAAATGTGCCATCTCCATCAATTAGTTGAGTAGAAGAACATTCACCAGGATTACCTGTTCAGATTAGCAAGTAAAAAGGCGAGTGACTTGATAAGCCTGTACACTGCGTCTAGAGTAGACAAGACTACCATAAAAACTCGTAATGGAGAATGAAAACCTAGGATCCTATCTAAATGGCGAGAAGTACCAAGAGGTTGATTTCATTATTTCAACAATTTTATCGATAACATGTTTCTCCTAATGATGAAGGAAGTGCATTAATCCCTGTCAATCTGTCGAAACACGGCTGTCAACAATAATCTATAAATCATCTTTATAGTGCTTGGGAGATGATTAAATTGGTATCCTGTTACACTAACACCATGATTAATGTCATCAGCTACCCTTTGCAACACAAACAAAAGGGTACTAGCGAAGAAACTTCCTAATCTTCACAGTCACTCTTATAGTTATAGCATCAAATGACTAAAGCTCTCTTCCACGGGTTTTCGAGAGCCGAAATTATCATTGAGGAAAATAAAGCCTTAAAACTTTTCAGCCCTTGCAATTGCCTTCCCAGAGACCGAGCTAACACAGCAACAAACACGATCCGAAATTGGGAGGAAACAGTTATGCCGTGTTAGAATATTAAATAATAAACATTCAACTAACAGCTTTTAGAATAGATTTAGAACAGTTGGCGGTGATCCCACAAAATCTCACATTGTATCAGACCGAGAGGTCCTGAGTTCCCCATTTGCCTTTCTTATTATATATGTACACGCTTATTACTAGGCAAAAAGACCGGACTAAATTACGCGTGAGGAGTGTTAGAATATTAAATAATAAATTACGCCTTTATCTAACCGATAGCATAAAAACCGGCAGATGCATTAATTCGACATTACGAGCAAAGAACCTTAAGACCAAACAACAGTTACGAGGATACCTAATTATACGCAAACCAACGGCAATTCAGAGATTCCAAAAGCGATAAAAAGATGTGGTTGCAACCGGAGACTTCAATCATGATAAAGAAGCGAATGAAGAGCAAGTTTTAACACGAGAACTAAAAGGATCGGAGTCGTCGGATACGAGCAAATTACCCATTGGCAATGGATCGAAGCAGGGTCGATCCGACGATCGAATGAGGGAAGCCTCGCGACGTTCGGCCGGAGAAACAGTGACAGGATGTCTCAGAGGTACGACGTATTTCAACCCCGTTGGAGATATGCTTGCCATTCTAGAACAGATCGAATGAATCAAATCTATCCTAGATTGATTCTGTTCAGGATACTCTTCCTTTATTCTTTCCTTTATCCAATCGGTTATCTTTGAATTTTTATCGTAGGCCCGATAGAAAATCATAGTTCAACTACTGAAATAGGTCAGGATACTACGTCCGATTTGCTTGGCCTCTTTTCAGTTTATTCAGACATGAGATTCCTCGAAAATTATTATGAACAAAGTATTCTATTCAACTTGTGATTCAAGTAAGATGCATGTGCAATTCAAATGTTGGATCAGTTGTCTTCAAATCCATATTGGACACCAGCATAAATCATTCTTCAACTACTAAAATAGGTTAATGGTGCTATGTTGAATTTGCTTGGCCTCTTTTAGACTGATTCAGGCATGATTCTCCGGAAGTTATTAGTAGCTATACTTTTTCCATTACTTAATAAAGATTAACCAATTCTACCCAATTAAATGCTGGGATCGAAGATTGCTTTTCAACTCCTGGACATGATTGGTCAGCTAACTTAGCTCCTCAACGTGATATCTTTTTCTCGTGTGCTTTTTGCTCTACTTCTTTTTATCTTCTTTTCTTCCGCTTGCTCTTCGGGTAAATTCACCGAGTCATCTTTTTAGCTTAATGTGGCTGTTAGAGATATTTAGATATCTTTTAAAGATATTTAGGATATATTTTTTTATTTTCAATATTTAATTTTGATTATGCATATCTAATTTGATTTCCTTATATGGTTATCTATTAAAACCTATTCGTATATTCTTTTCTATAATACCGAAATATACAAAAATTATTATTTCTCTATTCCACGTTATTATTCTGAAACATTCAGCACCATTAAGGGCCCGTTTGGTTCAACTTTGAAAATGCTATTTGGGGGAATGCAAATACCTTTGGGTGAAAGCCCATTGGGGAAATGCAAATGGTGTTTGGTAAAAATATTTTATAAAACTACTTTGGCCAAAATATAGTGTTTGGTGAATTATTTTTGCAAATGGACTTTGGGAGTAAAAACCTAACTTACCCTTCGCCGGAGCCGGCGCCGGCCGGCCGCCGGCGAGCTAGATTTGGCGCCGGCGGCCGTCGCCTGAGGTCGGGCGACCGCCGGCGGGCCAGATCTGGGGCCGACGGCCGTCGCCCGAGGCCTGGTTACCCTTGGCGAGGGTCGCGGGACCCAAGCGGCCGCCTGAGTCGCGCGACCCTCGCCGAGGATCGCCCGGCCTCTGGCGACGGCCGCCGGCCTCTTGCCAGCCTGATCCGGCGCCGACCTCCCTCGCCGGCCACCTCACGAAGAAGAAGATGAACAGTACACACGAGGGGCAAAATCGGAATAAGCCAAAATAACTAAGGGTAGTTTGGGGATAAAAAATTTGGGTTCAGCATTCCAAATACAAGCATTTGGCAAATGCTGATCCAAATGCTGAACCAAACGGTTCATCATTTGGTCAAGAGGCTTTCGAGGCCGAAAGCCCTTTCCAAATGCTGAACCAAACGGGCCCTAAGTCTAATATCCAACAAGATCCATCATTAGTCCTAGTACTAAATCATCACTAACTACATTGTAAGGACTAATGACCCACATGCACATTAATTCAATTAAGCTACGGATGTTGGGGACATCTTGTAGACCCCTTTCAGGCATTGGTCAAATCAAGATCTGGAAATTTTAGGGGTAAAGATCTTTTAGTCCTGGGAAAGTGTGACATGGCTGACTTCTTCATCATTTTTCAGTTCCAATAAAAATGGGTTTTAGCGGGTTTAGTAGCGATCCCAATTGAGAAAAATTAAATTTTATATACACTCCTCTCTCTCTCTCTCTCTCTCTCTCTCTCTCTCTCTCTCTCTCTGTAGATGAGGAAGCAGCACCAACACCCTCATTCTAACGCTCCTTGCCTCTCTCCCCCTCGAATCTCGCCGACCCCTCTCCACTTCTTCCGTCGCTCCACCTCTGATCGTCTCCCGGAATTTGTGATATCCTACTATGAGCACTGTTTGTGGCCACATTCATCTGACAATGGACGATAGGATTAACTTACATCAGCTACTCGCACTAACTGTATGCAAGAGCAGGTTGGTAACTTGGTATGACCAATTGTATTCTAACCTCTAAAACTTTGGTGCATAGCGTGTTTATATTTGGCACATCGAACAAAGTATAGCAGCCACAATATTGTTACATCTGCCTTAATCGTTTTAGAAGGTGCTATTCAGTTTACTTCACCTGGTCCTTTTGATTGTTCTGTATGCGACAAGTTTCGTAAGAACTTTTCTTAGCAGTTGTTAGTCTGCTGCTCTAAGTACTTCTTAATTGAGATAAGATAGTTTACGGGGAAGATATGGTACTGGATAGGATGCAATGGTAAAAGAGAGATCTAGTGTTTTCATCACACAGCGAAACCTTTATTCTGAAGTTATCTGTTGATTTCATGAATCGATGTTATTAGCAATACTTACTTCCGACATGTTTCTTGTGTTATTCGTCGATAAATCTTTCATTGTTCTCCAGATTGGTAAAAGGCTTGGAGACCGTGGGTTCAAAAGTACCCAATTTTCCTCCTGGGTTATTCCTCAATGGGATAACAACACAAACAGTCCCTGAACTTTGCTCTAACGTGCAATTTGATCCATGAACTTTTAATTTATTCAATGTAGTCTCTGAATTTTAGCTTAATGTTCAATTTGATCCTTGAACTTTTAATATGTTCAATGTGGTCCTTGAACTTTTAGTATATGTTCAATTTAGTTCCTGAACTATTTGAAAATGTCCAATGTAGTCCCTGAACTTGAATTAATGGAAGGATTACATTGGACATTTTCAAATAGTTTAGGGACTAAATTGAACATGTACTAAAAGTCTAGGGACCACATTGAACATATTAAAAGTTCAGGACCAAATTTATCATTAGGCTGAAGTTCAGGGACTATATTGAACAAATTAAAAAGAAAAAAAGAAAAGAAAAGAAAAGGAAAGAAGAAAAAAAAAAGGAAAAAAAATATTTAAAATTAAAAATGCTGACTGTACACGCTAAAAAAATTTATTTAAAATAAAAAAATGCTGACTGTACACGCTGACTCAGCCTCCGGCGAGCCACGTCGGCGTCAAAAATTAATAAAAAATGCCACGTCGGATTTCCAGCCAAATTGGCACTAAAGTGACTTATTTTCCTCCGACTTGGTACCAAAGTGATCCGAAAAAAAAGTTATGGCACCAAAGTGATCGCCGTACACAAGTTATGGCACTTGTGATGTATTTTTGCCCCGCTCCCTGGACAATTGTTAAGTGTTTCTGATGATGGTGAAATTGCTGGTGAAGGTGGTACGCTGCAGGTAGTTTCACTTTTGCACCTTTCCTATGATTGATTGGTTTCCGCGTGAGAAGCAGATCGGACATGATTGGTTATCGGTCCGTGAAATTGGGAGTTGACCATGTTCATCGTGGAATTGGCGGTGTTATTTTTTTATACGTTTATTTTCTTTCTCGAGAGTTCTTAAATATTTTGAAATATATGTTAGTGTATGATGAAATTAGAAAATTACTAGTAAAAGAAGGGATTGCTTCCACAAATAATTCGTACCCTTTGCCTTGTTGAATAAAAAAATTAAAAAAACAATATATTCTAAGGCTGGTTGCCAGTTCGGTTTGGTTGATTCCGCCGGTTCGGTTCGGTTGGTCTGATTATTCCCTATTTCAAAAATTTTGAATCGAGAACCGCCCAAAACTGCTCGGTTCAATTTGGTTTTTGGGTTGGATCAAGATTGATGTACACCCCTAGAAATTATAATGTATCATTGTATCTCACCAGCTTTTCGAGGTGT